GGCGCTTACACATATGTTAGTGTTTGGCCGAGCTTCTCCTCCGATTTGTGGCGTGCGCCTTGATGTTGTCACACAAAGCGGAGGGACCTACAGTTTTACGCCGACTCCGAACGGCGATTGTATTTTTATAAGAAGCTGTTTTTCATGGCAGAAATACACTCGGAGGTTTGCCATTGCCTGCCGAGGGACGACCGCTGTTAAGAAAAAACCTTTTTTCTATATTTTTTTTTGCGATGTTGCTTTGACCAGGGCTTGAACCCAGGTGCTGTGGAGTGGAAGCGCGCACTGCTTACCACTACACCACAGCGGCCGACCATACCATAAAAGCTCAATTTTGATAGACGAAAGTGCGAAAAGTAGAATTTTGCGAGACAGAGTTTCAAACTGCGGAACTTTGAAAAGCAGAATTTTGAAAAAGAAGCATTCGAAAATGCAGAATTAAATAAATGCAGAATTTTGATCGAGCAGATTTTTTTTTCAGAATTTTGGGATGTAGATATTTGTATTGCAGCGTAATGAGACGCTCCCTAGAGAAAATACCGGCTCTCAAGGCAATGCCTTCAAAGAAAACCCGTTTTTTCGCTCTCCTGTAAAATTTGAGTGTCGTGAGATAGGCGGTTTTGTAATTGGTCGATGGGCGGTTTTGCAAGGCCATCGACGATATGTACACTGCAGAGGAAAGTATTAGTCGGGAGTTCGGGTGTCGAATACCTGTACCTCGCAAATCTACCACCCATGCTTTCTGCTGTCGCATTTAACATGGAGTTGTCCTAGTAGGTGAGAATTGAGTAGTAACACGTAGCCTGTAACCGAAACACGTTTTGTATCTCGCTGCGTAACCTGGGACTAATAATATTAAAAACTTTCATAACAAAATATATTTACTTGCGTTTGATGGAATCATTGTTAATTACTCGCTAAACGAAATTATAATGGCACGCCATGGCGGGTAAGTGGCGGTACAACTCATCTGTCAAGAGCAAAACATAAAATAGTATTATCTTTCTCACACATAAAAAAAAATTTGTATTTGTGAACGAGCACTTTGATATTTATTTCATTTTCGACACAGTGTTACTAAACTATTATTATTTCAGAAATTGATGTTATTACTTCTAAACGTAACAACGCAACGCAAAGTATCCGAAAATATGCATTTTCTGCAAAATATGCTAAAATATGCATTTATTGCAAAATATGATCCAAGAAATATAACTCAAACTTAATATTTTTTGGAAAAACGTTTAAGCATGATAAAAACATTACAAGGTAAATTCATTCTCTCAATTCATCGGCCATGATTTTTTACTGACGTTTGCCAACATTTTAAAATCATATAAAATTGAGAATAAAAAAATGAAATTGTTCACAATTGTTGTTGTTTGAGATTGAAAATGGGAGTGTGTGTGTGAGTTTGAGTTTTGGATTTTAAAATTATATTGCTGGCAACCGTCAGACTGCCTCTCAATGGTTTTACCTTGTTATGTTTTTATCATGCCTTTTAAGCATTTCATCAGCGTGTTGCTAACATGCCTGACAAAAAAACATGCCTGACAAAAAAACATGCCCGAACATTTTTTGGGTTGCCATAGTGATTATCTACACTACTCATTTCGCTGTTGCGTTCAACCAAGCGACCAAACGAAGCACCAGTTCGTTTTTGGTGCCGCTGGCCTCCTCCCCAAGCTTTCGCAGCCATGTCTTCAGCTGCGCAAAAGTATGTGTTTTTAAATCATTCAATACTTCGTTGGAAGGCGTGTCCATACCGCTTCTGATTATTGTAGTAATAATTTTAAATTTGAAGGAAATTTCTTTTTCTTCTTTATTCTCTGCCAGTATAATTATGAATGTATATTCTTTATATATTACATTTATAAGTTTTTTACCTAAAGCTACTACAGTTAAAGTGAGCTAAAATTGAGATATCTTATTATTTGGGAAAAATATATAGCAAAAGTGTATTATTTGTGAAAAATATATAGGAAAAATGTGGTCTAGTGTTTTGAACTTAAATTTGTTTGCTCCGAATCCGATAACCACACAATTGACCGCATTTTGTATTTAATAAATCTGACATCGCCACCTCGAAAACCCCCCTATATAAAAGTTTTTGGTGAAAAGGAGAAAATTATAAAATTTGGTAGCCGTATTGGATCGCCCATTTTGAATTTCAAAAATCTGACATCAGATTCGAAATCAGTGACCTCCTGAGTTTGGGGTGAAAAGGAAAAACTTATAAAAATTGGTCACCATAATTGATCCGCC